TGTTGCCGATTTTTTTTTTTTTTTTTTTTTTTTTAGTTTTACGACATCCTTTCAATTGAACGCACATGTAAATTCAGCGTCAAAGCAAAAATAAATTTTCTCGTCGTAACTAATTTTTTCACGCTAAGCTCTTTGGATAAACATGTATGGACTTTTGAATGTAGGAAAGAGAGAAAAAGAAAAAGAGTGATTTTATGACGCATTGAAAAACAAAACGAGTTTTACAAAATATAAATACGTCCCATCACTCGGGTGTAAAGGCACTCTCGCGAAAGAAATCGGATTTTAATACCTCCGGAAGCTGTAGCGCTGCCTAATGCCCCGAAAACCACTGTCCTTTGATCTTCCATGTATTATCTAATTAAAAAATAAAACATTAACTGATCATTTTTTTTTTTTTTTTTTTAAATTACCAATTTTTTGTACGTTGATTAATTTGTTACAGAGTCAACATTTTCCATTTCCGAATGTAGATAGCAAAATAAAAAATAAAAAAAAAAGGACACTTTGTAAAATCCATCGAGCCAACGTCGATGTTGAATAAACAAAATGAAAAGAAACCGTGTGTCCTTCGATTAATCGAGTCTCCTTCGTTGTTCCCTCCCATGCATATAGTCGTGGTTGCACAGAGAGAGAGAGAGAGAGCGTGAAGTTGGCCATGAAAAAACACTCCCTAGCCGAAAGAAAACAAAAATCTCATCGTACAGTTTTGGTTTTGCGAATAGAGAAATAAATAAAAACAAATCACACAAGTCACGAAGCGCGCTGGTGATGCACCGCGTGGAGACGAGTCGTGATCACAGACAATGGTACCAGCGACCGGCTGCCGTAGCATAAGGATTTGGAAAACACATCGCGTTATCAACGAGTGCCTATCGGCGTTTGGAAAACCCCAAACTGGCAAGCGAATTTTGTCGGGCCACGCCGAGCCCCACTTGAGCAGAAATTACAGTGACCAGCTGTAAGTTGACGAATACACACACATAGGAACCCTCACTTTGTAACGATCACATCGGTAACCTATAACGATCGAGTGAGTACACACTGTTTGTTAGGAGACAGCCACCATGTCTTCGAAGCGAGCTGCTGTGCAACGTCGTGGAGCCCGTGCAGGACGGAATGACCAAAGTAACCGTCGTGGGTGCCGGCACGGTGGGAATCGCCTGCGTCAACTCCCTACTGTTCCAAGTAGACCTTCACTCTACTTGTAAAAATAAATTTTTTTTTTTTTTTTTTTAATTATTTTTTTAACGGTGGAACAACGTTGATTGTGCGACAGAAAATCAGCAACCACGTGACACTGCTTGACGCGTTCCCGAAAAGACTGAGGGGCGAGGGCATGGACTTTTCCCACGGGCTGATTTTCCTGGACGATCCGCAATTCGAGTACGACACAGGTAGGACTGTATTACATCAAGAGAGAGGAAGAAGAGATTGATTTTTATATTGCTCATTCGCTGGTAAGATTTTTGCGCGTCGAGCAACTCGAAGGTGGTGATAATAACGATCGGCGTGCGCCAGATGAAGAACGAGTCGAGGCTCGAGCTGGTCCACCGAAACGCCGAGATAATAAAAACCATCATCGTACCGCTGGCCGAGTACAGTCCGAAGGCTGTTTTCATCATCGTGACGAATCCAGGCTAGTTTTAACCCCATATTATACGCACACGTGTATTTTATCGAAAAAAAACAAAAAAAAAGAAAAAATGAAAAGGGTCGATATTGCACGCGCGTCAGTCGACATAATGAGCTGGTTGGCGTGGAAGGTGAGCGGATTGCCGATCAACAGGGTCATTGGCACCGGCACGCACTTGGACACAGCGAGATTTCGATACATGATTGCCAATCGTCTCGGCGTAGCTTCACACTCCATTCACGGGTACATTGTCGGCGAGCACGGCGATAGTCAAGGTTGCACACCCACTGTACCCATACCATAGGATTGACTTTTTTTTTTTTTTATTTTTTTTTTTTTCACTTTGAAAAATGATTTGTCGTCAAGTTCCTCTCTGGTCGAGCGTGAGCGCCGGTGGTGTCACGTTCCGGGACATACTCCCAAACATCGGTATGACCACGGATGAGGAGAAGTGGTACGAAATCGCCCGAGACGTCATGAGCGCGTGAGTTGCATTGAATTCAGATTAATCGTAAGGGCGCGACGTTAATTTGCTCGGCTTTTGCGCATCAGAGGACCGACTGTCAGGTGTCTCAAAGGGTACTCCAACACTGCCGTGGGACTAACGGTGGCCGACATCACCAAAGCCATTCTTCTGAACAACCAGACCATCAAGTGCGTCTCGACCCTCGTCCAGGTATGTTATCTCCCTTTAACTTTGTTTGACGGAAATTACGTGCCTCGCGAGAGTGACAAAATTTGTTTTTAAATCGGCGAGCGCTCATTTGTTATTCCGCGAAGCTGCGAGCGCTGGCAAAGGACGACCAGTATACACGGGAGAAAAAAAAAAAAAACAAAGAGTTTGCAAAGAGAGCGATTCCGCGCGTTTGGCCATCCAACGCCGAGAGTGTCATTGAGCGCTCGGAATGCCCCACATGTGTGTTCGATTACCGTGGCGTTGTTCGTCTAAATTAAACTCTCGACGAGTCCTCGTTCGCGCCTTGAAATCTCGAGGAATACCAATGGAGATCGAGGAAAGAGGAAAAAAATTCACGCCAACACACGACTTTTGCCGTAGGGTCACTACGACGTTTGCGAGGAGTTGTTTCTGTCGCTTCCGTGTACCATCGGGGAGCGCGGCATCAGCAGCGTCGTGCGCGTCCGCATGACGGAGCACGAGAGGAAGATGTTCAAGACCTCGGCGGCACAAGTTTACAGCGTTCAGAAGGACATGAAGCTCTGAGTTGTACGATCTTGTGTTTCTTATATGCCATCTTTTCGGCGTGAGTCACAAATAAATGTTATATCCTTTTCCTTTTTATGTCTACTTTCGTTCACAGTGATGGTAAACGAACAAGCTTACGCAGTAGCATATATACATTACAGTGTGGTAGCTTCATGATTTCACAAAAGTTATTTACAGTTGGCCCATTCACGTGACTGATTTGCATGAAGCTTATACAAGATAAAAAAAAAAAGGAAAACAAATATTTACTCGGTTCACAGTTAGTTTATCGAGACGTGATCTCGAAAACTTTCGCTGTAAACATTTCTATCACTTGCAACGCGATCTGATCAGCTGCTCGTGGTTTTGCATAACACGTTTCTCGAAACGCTCGTGCGCAATACATTTTTGGTATTCATAAT